CTCTTGTATTTTGTATGTATTGTAGACCATTGAAAATATATCAACTGCCTGGTATTAATTTGCAGGTTTTGTTCAAGAACCTTCTCAAAAGCAAGCTAATCATTTTTAAAAAATTCACAACTTTTAAGATCGGTCATGGTAATAGCCGATCTTAAAAGTCAAGCTTTAAAGATCGGTTTTAAGATCGGCTATTACCATGATTGATCTTAAAATTTGCACTTTTAAGATCTTTTATTAGCATGACTGATCTTAAAAGTTTACTTTTATGATCGACTATTAGCATGATCGATCTTAAAATTATACTTTTAAGATCGATCTTAAAAGTAGGACTTTTAAGATCGATGACTTTTAAGATTGACTGCATAACCAATCTTAAAAGTCTAACTCTTAAAAATAGCAAGGTTCCTAGCTAACATAGTGACCAAATGGTTGCCATCCAAATCACTGACCATTTAAGACTATTTAGACTACTACAATTTGGTAGTCCAACAAACTGGTGAAAATTGTCATCGCAAGAAACATGAAGAGCAGAAGTAAAATCACACCAATGTAAACAAAGTGTCCAAATTCTATGAGAAAAGTAGCATTCAAACAAGATATAGGAGGTACTTTCCTCACTAAAACCACACCAAGCACATAAACTAACATTACTTGATAAGACGTTCCTTCAAATAAGGTTTTGTTTACTTGGTATTCCATCTTTAGTAACTTTCCACCGCCAATTGTCTTTGGAATTCACCTGTAAAAAAGTTGATTGCAATTCTCGTTGTAGTAAAGTTAGTTGGTCAAACTCCCTGAGTAATAATATTGAGATTCTTTAATATAAATTTTAAAAGATATAAGAGTTTTTTTTTAAATTTTAATATTAAAAGAAAGGAGCATAACAAATTCATATATTCAATAAAATAAATATTAAGAAACCAAATAATGGAGAATAATATTACAGTACAAAATTCACTTCTATATTCTAATTTTTAAGACTATTAATTAATTAATTAAATAAAATTATTTCCAAATGAATAATATTAATAAATAATAAATTATTTAATATAAAATAATAAATGATTTTTAAACATAATCTACTTGAAATTTTAATATTCAGTTTCAATAAAAAATTGTACATGTTAAATCATAGTTTTAAAAACCGGACCGGTCATCGAACCGGTTAAGGTACTGGGTCAGTGGGTCAAAGGTTGAACCGGTGGGTCACTAGTTGAACCGCATGACTCGGTTTTTATTTATTTTTATTAAAAAAATATTCATATTAAATATATTTTATACTTATAAATTTTAATAAATTTATATCTTATTTTAAATTTCAATTTTTCTATCTTATTTAAAATTATTTTTATTTTTATTTTGTAAAAAAATACATAAAAAAATTACATGTTAAACGGTATATTAATACAAATTAAAAATATAAATAATATGTACATATATAATATGCTTGCAATTAATATCACAAAATAATATATGTAATATTTACATAGATATTGCATTATTAAATATATAATTTAAAATTAATAATATACTATAAAAGTTATTTAAGTTGTATATATTGCAAACAAATATATTAGAACAAGTAGTCATTGTTATATTTAATAAGACTCCTTGCTTTTTCATTAAGAGATTCAATTTTCATTATTATTTTTGTGATTTATGGTCCCTTAAAAAAAATTAAAAAAAAAAAAAAGTGGTTGAACCGGTTTGACCCACCGGTTCACCGGTTGAACCGAAAAATTGACCGGTTCAATCCGGTTTGAAACGGGTCGACTGCAACCGATCCAACTTAAGGTTCGGACCGACTGGACCACCGGTTCCCGATCCAACCGGTCCGACCGGCCGGTTCGGTCCGGTTTTTTAAACACTGTGTTAAATTACTAATTAATAAGTATATATATTCGTATTTACTAATTTAATGCATCATCTTTTTTTAGTACATAATTCTTCATAACAAACTAAATAATTTAGAAATCAAATTACTTATTCATTCTTATTACCTTGAATCCAGTTTATTCTGAATTAACATCATATATATATATATATTTAAATTTATGAAAATAAAAATAGTTTAATTATCAATTTATTACTGTTCAATTTTACCAATAGTTCAATTGATAAAAAAGAGATCAAAAAATGAAAAATAATTTGAGTATAAAATTCACTTCTATAATTTAATTTTTAAGATTATTAATTAATTAATTAAATAAATTATTTCTAAATAAAAAATATTAATAAATAATAAATTATTTAATATAAAATAATAAATGATTTTTAAACATAATCTACTTGAAATTTTAATATTCATAAAATTTTAATTTTAAGTTTTAATTCAAAATTGTGCATGTTAAATTACTAATTAATATGTATATAAGAGATTTTAAACAAACTAAAATCTCATCGTGACAGATAATAAAAGATCAAGGGAGCTGAGTCAAAGAGAGAGAGAGATCCAGGAGTAATATTTATCTTCCCTTTAAAAAAACTATTTGAAAATACTTGTGCATGTGGAATCATTTAATGAAAAATAAGATCCTTTACGCAAAAAATATTCCAAATCCCAAGGAATGTAGTATTATTGGCATTTATTTTTATTTTTTTGTTAAAAGACAAATTCCATGTTCTATATATACATTATTAAATTTGCAGCACCTCATACCACGAACGCTTCAGTGTAGCAAATAACGAATCACACAGTAAAATAGAGCAATTTGTTTTCTAGGTTATTCTAAATTAACATGAATATATATATATATATATATATATATATTAAAATTTATGAAAATAAAAATATTTTAATTATGAATTTATTACTGTTTAATTTTATTAAAATATATTTACATTTCAATAGTTTAATCGATGAAAATAACATTTTATATAAAATATTAATAATATGAGAATAGGTGTTATAATTCATTGAAATTTAGATTGTGAAAGATGTACAATATTATTTTCTTTGTCTAATCAGAGATAATGTTTAACTTTGTAAGATATAAAAGCAAATTGAATGTTATTATGTAGATTAACGAAGATGGAATATTGATTGTTAAAATGTTTGTTATAAAAAATAAAAAATAATATTTAATTATTATTTATTAAAATTAATGACATAAAAGATAAAAAGAGAGAGATTTGTAATTATTATACAAAGATAATTTAAAATAATATATAAGTAAATTTGTTGACCTGATATATTAGAGATATTTTAAGTTGAAATGTTAACATAATAATAAAAAGTAATTTAATTTTTAATTATAAATAAATAGATAGCTCTTTCGATCATGAATTCATCGTTAAAATATCTCTATATTGAGTGAGAGAATTTGTGACAAAAAGTTTAGATTTGGAAGATAATTTACCTCAAAATCCGTTATGAAATAACCTAAAATTACACAAATTATCAAAATCCGTCACAAAGTTGTCACTATGAGCTAGAATTGTTGTTCTCTCACAAACTTTCATCACAAATTCTAACTTCTCTGATCTAACGAATTTAAAAATTGAGAAGTCAAAATTGTGGATTTCACCTTATAAAAAAATTAAAATTAAAATTTAGGCAAAAAAATATTTTTTTATCAATTAATATAATAAAAAAACTTATAATTAAAATTTGAAAAGACTTTAACTTTTTAATCCACGTGACTTCAATATCATTGTTTTAATTAAAAGTAATACTAAGTCAATGTCAATTATATGAGTGTTATTATATAATTAAAACGATACAAGAGAAGCACCACGGTGTCAAATCAAATAAAAAATATTAAGAAAAATTATAACAATATTAATTACAGTTAATTACTATACTACTATAGTTATATAAAATCTATGAACTACGAATAATTTAAACAATATCAAGCCCACAAACATGGGTTGCATGGTAGCTAGTCAGGTATTCTATAAGAAATTAATCTTTTATATTTAAAATAAAAAATTCTGTAGAAAACAAAAGAAGACAATCCGTGTACTTTGCATTATAACTCAGAAATTAAAAATATAAGATAATTATTATAAAAATTATCTACTGTGTATTATCAATATTAACATGAAAATAAATTATAAATATGATAGAAAATTATACAGAAATTTTGAATATATAATAATTCAAATAATAAAAAATCAATTGTATTTATATATACTATAGATTATCCATATTAGGATAAAACAAATTACAAATATAATAAATTATAAATTCAGATAATTTACTTAAATTTAAATTAGTGTATATATTTTGGAAAAAAAACAACAATATTACAAAAATAAAAATATTATAGTGTAAAAAAATATTTAATTGAATGAGTGCAAAAAAAAAAATAGAAAAGTTCTTTTCACTATTAGTATATTTAATTTAAATTTATATATTTTTCATTTGAGTTTCATGTGTTTGATCCCGTGAACCTTGAAAAGTCAAAAGTGACTTCTTATCTCATTTGCATCATTGTTTGGTCAGCTGGGGCCTTAACATCGAATCATATTAGCCACAAAAAAATGTCACGTTTTTATTCTGTCTTTGAGAAATTCAAGTATTCATATCTTATTATTTTGTCTGGATGAGAGAAAACAATGTTTATATTAAATTAAATATGCTTTTGATTGCATGTGGAACAAAAAAAAAAAGTCACTTACTAAACATGTTTCTATCTTTCCTCGAGGGTTGTTTGGAATTTGGGTTGATATATTCTTAGAAAATTCTATCCTAAATTACTCTTTAGTCACTTTTTTTTTATTGAATTGATTCAATTTGGTCTTTTAACTATCAATATATTCAATTTGGTTCTATAAATTTTAAAAGTAAATGCTGTAGTTTCGTCTAATTGAAACAACCAGTGTTTAATTGGACAAAAGTAACAACAACCTTACATCATTTTTTTGAAAAAGAGATTAAATTAAATTTTTTTAACAATTGGTTGAGCAAATTGAAACAATTAATTAAAAATAGGATAAAACAGTAATTTTAAAAAAAATCTAACTTTGTTTTGTTATTTATTCAGTTCTCGGTGCTTTGATTGTGTATGCATCAGAAACAGACACTGCTGTTTTGCTAGTTTACTCTCAGTATGGAGGTCAAAAGCACAAACCAAACAGAACCATGCACTGATTCCAATTATGATAGGAAAGCTGAACTAAAAGCATTTGATGACTCAAAAGCTGGTGTTAAAGGTCTTGTAGATTCTGGGGTGAAGAAGATCCCACGCATGTTCCATTCTGGCATTGACATAACTGAGAACATAGCCACAGACTCAAACCTGAGTGTTCCTGTCATAGACCTTAGAGACATACACAACAACCTGGCTCTGCGTGAAGCAGTTGTCACCAAAATTCGAAGTGCATGCCATGAGTGGGGACTTTTCCAAGTGGTCAATCATGGAATTCCAATTAGTGATATGGATGAGATGATTGATGGAATCCGAAGGTTTCATGAACAAGATACTGATGTAAGGAAACAGTTTTACTCTAGAGATTTGAAAAGCAAAATTTTATATTATTCCAATACTAGCCTCTTCCTAGACAAATTTGCTAACTGGAGAGATACAGTTGGATGTTCTATGGCTCCTAATCCACCCAAGCCAGAGGAATTGCCTACAGTATTTAGGTAATGAGTTAATACTTTATTATTTAGATTTTATCTATAAAGCATTGATACTTCAATTTGTTTTACCTATTCATATCTTATATGTCTATCGTATCTATGCATCATAGAATTTTATAGTGGTATATAATTTTGTGATAATGGTTGCTCTTTTTCTTTGTATCTTCTATTGCATATCTAGGTGGTTACCTATTATATGTTGGAAGAACATTTTTTCATGTAACTTAAGTTATCCAATCATAAATTTCAAGTTTGGTGTATGGTTTTTTGAAGAATTAGGCACTTGAGGCACTTCAGTTTCAGAAATTGTTAACTTGAAGTATTTGAATTCTTGATGAATTGTTTATGTACTTGCAGAGACATAATTATTGAATATTCCAAGAAAATAGTGAAACTGGGTTGTGCAATTTTTGAGTTATTGTCAGAGGCTCTTGGCCTTGATCCATCTTATCTCAAAGAGTTGAATTGTGCTGAAGGACTTTTCATTCAGGGTCATTACTATCCACCTTGCCCTGAACCTGAATTAACTTTGGGCACCTCCAAGCACACTGATGTTGCCTTCTTGACAATACTTCTACAAGACCAACTGGGTGGTCTTCAATTTCTTCATGAGAATCAATGGTTTAATGTTCCTCCTGTGCACGGAGCACTTCTTGTAAATGTAGGAGATTTTCTGCAAGTAAGTATTAGAATGGTAATAAGTATTTTCTGCAGTTTAGATAATTGTATTAAGATTACTCCAAAAGATGAAATATAAAATCCAAATCTAGTGAGATAGTTTTATGGTTTTGGTTAGGTTTTTAATTATGTAAGTCAAAAGAAGTGAGCATTATTTTTATTTTTTACCATTAAATGAAGAAAAAACTTAAGGAATATGCAAGGCCTTGAGAAAGAAAATCCTGGGAGGGAAAGATTAACTTAGATTTGTCAAAGATGGGTTATCATGGCATATATGACCACTATCCTTTTGTGCTATATTTTTCCTTGATATGGCTTTCAGTTGTTCATAAGCAATTAACATTTTACTTTACATTCCATGCACATGGACCGCTGACATAATTCTAGGTGATCATTGGTCACAATTTGCTAATGTAGCTATATTTGCTTATAAAATAAAAATATAGTGATAGTTTGCTTTGCTGTGATTTTTTCTGCCATTTTTTATTATGGACTTCTTCCTTTAAATAACACTATTTTTCCTGACATGAGGAGAAAGGAAAATTATACTCATCTTAAGTAATTGCATTTCTCTTTAACACAGCTTACTCGTATTAGAATTTAAAAGAAAATAATTGAATGGAAACAGGGTTGTCAATGCATAATCTTCAACATTCAGCATAAATGGCAACAGAAAAAAAAACACCTGTTTTGAAAAAAAAAACTCAGATTATTCAACAAATGTCACGTGTAAGCTTGATCTGTTCCTTTATCTTAATCCAGACTTTGTGTATACCTGCATAAGTCAGTGAGTGTTCTGACATTATATTCATTCCCATAATAGCTCTGAAATTCTTCTGTTTCATCAGTATCCATTTCTCCAATGTCTTCCTAATCCAAGTTTATCATGTTACTCCTTAGACACAACACAAATCCCTCTTAATTGTTCAATAAACATTATACTGTGTCCCCCATATAATAAGGTAGGTTGTTATGAACATTAAAAGAAGAGGAAATTATATGCGATCACACCTAACTATGAGATGTTAGTGTAATTTACTTGAAATTAAGAAAAAGTTACTTTGATATATTTCTTCATCGATACAGTTTGTGTTGAATATATTTGTTAATTTCCTAGCTATTGTTGCAGCTTATAACGAATGACAGATTTGTGAGTGTTTATCACCGGGTCTTAGCAAGTCATGGAGGGCCAAGAGTTTCAGTAGCTAGCTTCTTTTCAGGTTCGCAAGATCCAGATAAAGCTAAATCGAAGGTTTATGGTCCAATTAAGGAATTATTATCAGAAGATAACCCACCAATCTATAGAGACACCAGCATAGGAGAGATCATGGCACACCATTTTGCTAAGGGGCTTGATGAGAACCACGCCTTGCTGCCTTTCAGATTGTGAAAATGAACAAATTTCGACCTATAACAGAACTTGATAATATTTATGAACACCAGATTCTCATGTAGGTGACTGTAATGTGTTATTTCTTATGCTTTTTTGTGTATTAATTTTCCATAACATGTTATGTTTGTAAATCAGCAGTATTTAGTAATGTGATCACAATAAAAGTCTATTTGGAATTTTGGATATAAATTAGATATTTTTTATTTTCAGTAAAGAAATTTTTAAAAATATTTTTAAATTTGTATTCGATCGTTGAATTTAAAATTCTTTATGCATAGATTAAATCTGTAAATTTTTAAAAAATTTGAAAATTATGTGATACTTCGTTTCATTATTTCAAATCAACGTATAAAATGATTTTATGATTATCCGTCAACCTGAATTAATAAAATGAAGTATCAGATGATTTTCAAATTTTTTTAAAATTGCATACTTGATTTAGGCATTAAGAACTTTAAATTTAATCAGTTGGATGATTGAAATTTAATGTAAAACATGAATTATTAAATAGACTTATTCTTAAAGTAAATAGATCCCTTCTCATATATATCTCGTAAGTATATACTTTTATATCAAATGATCTTTAATGTTTATAAAGAAGAGGGAAAAAAAATAACTTTGATATTTTACGGATTTATGAAAAGAGATACAAAATTTGACTAAAAATAAAAATTTTCAATATATCTTAAATTTACATGTAATATTAATAAATACAAATTATTAAATGACGTGATGAGTGAATAAACATGTTTGTGTTTGAATCTATAACAATACATAAAATAAATTTATCATTTTTGTGTATACAAATTTTAAGACGTTTTTAACATTTATTTATTGTAATAACTGCATAATAATTTTTTTTAATACTTTTGCTTATTTATTATTTTTAATGTAAATTTAATTAACTTACTTCAAATTTATTATGTGTATAATCTGTAATTTTTTGTGCATTTGATTTATTTTATTATATGTAATTTGATATTTGTAACGATCTGTCGAGGTCCCTACACTTAGTGAAATCGCACCAAATACTAGTGGACTAAGAAAATATATTAAAACTGGATAACTCATATATACATGTATATATAAAATAATAATAACTATGTTTCTATGTACAAAATATATACCCATATATGTACAGTCATTCCAAAAATAATATCTCCCTAGTGCTGGTCAAGCACAGACAAAACAATTACCCAAAATGGTAACTTTGACACTCAGACAAAACTCCACATCATGCAGCAATCACAGCAACCAGCTCCAACCTAACTCTAATCTGCTCCCATACATAGTATGATCATCGCAATCCATCCACATGAAAATAGAAGGGTAAGCTAGAGTTCAAAAATCGATCATGTAAGCATACAAATAAATGTCTATGCTACACCATTATCAAGTTACCAATCATACTCATAGAGCCACACCATACACTCTATCCAATACTACTCATGCATAAAATACAACTCAACAATCATGAAGTCAAACACCATACACTTCATCATAACAGAATTCATGCAATAATGGCAGTATCATGACAGATATCAATGCATATCAATCATCTAATGTGTCGCCACGTATTCACCTATGAGATCTCCCTAACAACAGAGCAGTATAAGTGACATCCCATTCCTACTGAAACCACCCCAACCGTTTTCACGCCCAATGCGCCCGCCCGGTCACAACTAATCAGGATATAAATCCTCACTCGAGTTTACTCGGATGATGTCACTTACACACTTGGAAGTTTGGTTCCACCATCAGGTATAACACAGCTAGGTACAAGCTTACCACGACCTTGACATGCATTACCAAGTCACTTGTGGAGTTCTCCCACCGACTATCCACAAGGAACCACGCAGCTTTCCCAGTACTTGGTTAAGGGAATAACCCTCGACCTCATACCCCACTCCAACACTAGCTAAGGACTTAGATGAGACTCACCCAAACCGGTGGCTTATCCAAGCACCACTCTCAAGAGACTCTATGTGAGCTCTTCCAGTTCGAAAACATTTTCCCTCTCCTCAAGTCCTAGGCTAGACACATGCCATAAGGCATCACATGCAATAATGCATCATACATCATACATGGTCAATCCACCATCATGATCAATATCATCGGGGGATGAACATATACACATGTCATATCATGTTCAAACATTCATATATATCATTACCAAACATACATATGAATCATACATCATCATACATCATATATCATATATACATGATCCAACTTCAACCTTAAACATGCAAAAGAATCAATTTCAATCAATATCATTAAGCATACTTACACTCGACGCAATTAGCTCGCGCCCGACCTAAATCCAACTCGAGAGCTCTAAAACTCATCCACGCCTAGCGCAGTCAGCTCGCACCCAACCCAAACCCAACCCGAGAGTCCTAAGACTCTCCCACGCCCAACATGGAATTTTCGCGCCCGACGTCAATCAAACAGAGACCTCAGGGGTCTCCACGCCCGACACACCTATCCTGCGCCCGGTGCCATATCAGTAAAACACCACACCAAGCCACTATCTGATATCGCGCCTGGCGTGGCTCTCCTCACGCCCAACGTGACTCATCTAGAGGCTCCCATCTCAAATTGCACCCCGCACAACTACCCTCGCGCCCGGCGTGATTGAGAAATGGCTGCCTCTAATGACTACATGCCTGACGCCAAGAGCATGCGCCCGACACAAATTCAAACAGCAGCCTCCTAAAACTTAGAAAATTCCATCAAAACCTGAAAGTCAGGAGATCCAACCACATGGAATCCAAGAAACACAATACATAGACTCCATAGAATTAGAAAACGTTCTCAGATTCAACATGCACCCACCTGATGCATTAAAATCACCAAAAACCTCATTTTTCCCAAAACCCCGAAAAGTGAGAAGTTCTTCAATTCAACCATTGATTCTCCAAATTCATTCACCAATTGAGTTCCTAAACACACATGCAACCAATCAATCTACATTCTAGCTTCCCTCACCTGAAGATTGACTTAGAACAGCCAATAAGATGATGAAGAAGAAGAATCTCCCTCAAAGCTCGTCCCGCGAACTTCAATCCTGCAAAAACAAGCTTCATAGCCTGAATTCCAAGAAAAGACAGAAAGGATTAGTGATCTAGAGAAGAAGAAGAATCAAACAGAGAAATTAGGGAGAGAAAAGGAGCTCACGGACCTACAATCCTTCTCTCTAGATTTCTTTGAGAATGAGCTTATGAGGCTCTATTCTCAGAGAAAACCTTATATACTCTTCTCTCTAGCACCCACTAAACCTTGTACCAACTTACTATGTTATATATTTGTTGTGCAACAAATCAAATTAAATCAATTATAATTTGATGTTTTTTTATTCATTTTGTATACAGATTTATATGAGTCTTTTAGATATTGAAAAAAAAATATGTTGAAAAAAAAACTCAAAATAAATATGTAATTTTTTTTTCTTTTTTCCCTTTTTTTTAAATCTTTTAGGAAGGTTGGCCTACAGGGTGGGTTAAGGCAGCCAACCCGCTTTTGTTTGGAAACTTGGCCTAGCCCAAACCATTTTTGGCGGACCAACAATAACCAAACCTAGCTAAATAGGTTGGACTGACCCATTTTACTTTCCCTACTCACTCTTCACAAAAAAAAACTTAAATAAGTTTTTAGTCCTTTAAATTTAGGATAAATTTGTTTTTGATCCTTTAAATTTAAAATTGTTATTTTTAGTTCTTGTAATTTTTGAAAATATTGTTTTAATCCCTCAATTGACCAATAACATATATGAAATTGAAAAGTTGAAATAGTTATGCAATATCAATTGATTTAATGTGATGTTTTCACTAATAGGATACTAATATGTAGATATTTTATGCATAAATATTCTATACATTCCATGATAAAATTTGAGTATAAGGACTAAAACACATTTTTTTTTTTAAAATCATAAGGACTAAAAGCAACAGTTTTAAATTTGAGGGACTAAAATCAAAGTTACCTTAAATTTATAGAACTAAAAACATATTGAAGCCTAAAAAGAATAATAAATTCATTCCAATTTTTCTTCTTCTTTTTATATAATTATCTTATATGACTACCTATTTTAAAATTTGAATATTTTTTCTACAATCATCTTCACTTAAAAGATCTCAAAAGAAAATACATAAGGACACAAAATTAGAGATGTCAAAGTGAGTTAATCTAGCTCACACGTGTTGACCGATCATGGGTTGGTGATTTAAACGAGTCAACACAACTTGGTTCACTTTCATCACGAATTGATGAGTTAGATGAGTTGACTAACTAAATTTGTTTAAATAAAAAATAATTAAAAAAGTAATTACATGTTCTTATTTTTATTAATAAAGAGCTTAACTCAAATGTAAATACATAAAAATATCAATCAAAATTTTAAATAATAACTACATAAAACACATACATATATATATATATATATATATATATATATATATATATATTTAGTGTGGTGAGAGAATAAAGAAAATCTAAATGACTTGTCAATCTAACTGACTTAGGCTTGAATCTATTTGGCTCACAGGTTAAGTGAGTTAGATTAAAATTTAGTCAAAATAGGTATACTTTTTTTTTTTCCTAATTAGGCCTAGCCTAAACCTGTAGTAAATTAGGTTGACTTATCAGGTTGGACCCGTTTTGACACCTTTACATAAAATATCTCCTTTTCACTATTAGTTATAATAAAGATATATAAACCTTTTTGGTATATACAATTTTGCATCTAATTTTAATCATAATTACTCTATAAGTTATTATTCTATTCATTTCATAATGAGTGTCATGTGTAAAAGAAAATAAGTTTTAAAATAAGTGTCATGTAAATTTTTCAATGTACTATTAACTACCTGTTTTCTATATATATCCCTCATAATAGAAATTAAGTTGTTATAGGCTTAAAAAGAAAATTAACCATAAAGTTAATTTTCTAAAATTATAATTATATTTTTCTATTTATTAATTTATTTTATCTATATAAAAAAAACTTAATTAGAAGTGGGACAAGACTTATGATGGAAAGGAGGAGTATTCTTGTATTCTTTTTTTCTTTTATGTAAATTTAACAATACAAACTACCCATCATTTTCAATTACTTGTCCACACCTTTAATTTTATCTATTAAAAAAAGTGAGAGACGAGTGCCTTTTTCCCTGGTTTATTCTACAACT